TTAATGATTCATTCTCTTCCTTAGTCCTGTTAATCCCTAACTCCTGGGAAAAATCCCCACCTGGGGAAACAACCTTTCTCAGAGAGATGACCTTGGATAAACACACAGCGCTAAGTAGGGGAGCAAACATATTAAGAACAGTATGCCATATACGCCAGGTCCCTTGAAACATATGCTGTGCAGATGTTTCTTCCCTGCAGCGACTGCGTCAAGCAGCAAGGATGGACTGGCTTCCGGCACTGCACATTGGGGTCCTGCGGCACCCAGCTGATGTTCGGGGTGCGCGTGTGCGTGTGCTTGGTCTGCCTATGCTCCTGTCAACTGAGGGCAAGTTTCTGGGTTCACTTAGCCTTTCTCATGGCTGAATCCACATGTAAGCAGAGGGGGAATCTGCTTTACCCTCAAGTCGATCCCAATGTATCCATTGCAGTAAATTCCGAGTTTTCAAAGCAAGCAGCGGAGTGGAACTGACTACACGTGGAACTGGCAGATCGACACGAAGAAACCAGCGACGCAAGAGGAAAACGAGCAAAGGATACGAAGACTCAGCTGACAGAAGCAGCTCAAAGGCCAACAAGGGCAGAGCTGCTCAGAGTCTAGTCAGATGAAAACGAGTGAGACACCATGTGACACTTGGCCAGGCCGGCGGGCAAAGCTCAGGAAGGTGGAGAAGACCAGGCAGTGGGGATGGGGTCGCGGGAACCCGCGGGTGACGCTCACAAACGACTCCTACCTCCTTCGTGGTTGCTTCAGCCATCTGGGGTCTTATTTTTAAAGGTGGTTTGTGAGCATAACATGACAACCTGTCATGTTTCACTGACTTAGCACAGTGGCAGAATGAAGACTTTCAGGAAAATTATAACCAACATTTTCTGTCTCCTTGCACTGAACATATTCTTAGGTGATGATACCTAAGTTTTCTGTATTTAGTTAGGGGAGAGGGATCAGGCAGGGGCCGGATACCTCTGGGTATGGGACCCAGTCTGCAAGCTCTTCCCGTTCAAGCTTCCCCTGATAGTCCAGAACCACCTGAGCAATGACAGATATGAAGAGAAAATTCTCCAATGCGCCAGGTACTGTGGTTCGTGGGAACTGGGGCTATTCACCCATCAAGAACCCAAACAGTGTGTTTTGCCCCTTAGACAGACAATCATTAAAATTTAATTAATCCCATGGTCAGGTGGCTCAGTTGGTTGGAGCATCATACATGCACCAAAAGTGTCCAGGGTTTGATTCCCAGTCAAGGCACATACCCAGATTGCAGGTTTGATCCCTGATCAGAGCAGGTATGAGAGGCAACCGTTCGATGTTTCTCTTCACATTAATGTTCTCTCTCTCTCTCTCTCTCTCTCTCTCTCTCTCTCTCTCTCTCCCTCTTTTCCTCCCTCCCTCCCTCCCTTCCTCCCCCCCTCTCTATGATGTCTCTATCTCTCTGTCTCTCTAACGTCTTTCTTTCTCTCTGCCTTTCTAAGATCAATACACATATCCTTGGTTGAGAATAAAAAAGGTAATTCATGCATGATAGAAAGTAGTAAGAGGCAGTAATGGGGGTGATGATGAAATGCTTCACACAAGGAAAGGTGCCGAGGTACAGGGCAGTACCCACTCAAGGATGCGACTAAACTAGGCCACACTGAAGCACAGAGAGCCGACTGGACAGTGAAGGGTGATGGGGACAGAGAGACAGGCATGGTGAGCTCCTGCAGGTCCTTGTGGACCATGCTGACAATACAGGACTTCATCCTTTCTCTCCTGTTTCATTCTACCCTTTACCACTGTAAGAGTCACACATCCCAGCAGAGGCCCACACAGATGAGGCTGCAGTGCTGATGGCTGTGGGATAACCCGGGTGGGTCACCACTGGACAAAAGAGGAACCAGTCATTCTGAAGAAAGACATCACCAACGTGAACGACACCTCTCATGTGTATAAGTCTTTAGTGAACTCATCAACATACAATATCACTGATTTATTTCTTTATTTACTATTTTTCCTCAACTAGATTGCAAGCTCCATGAGAATAGGGAAAGTATCTTTTATTCCTCTACTGCTGCAACCTCAACTCCTCCAGCTGTAACTGGCACATAGGTGTGTGCCTGTGGAAAGTGAAGTGATGACTCTGAAGTCAAGAGGAAAACAAGGGTTCAGACTGGCATTTTTAAAAGTTCACTCAGGCTATGACTATAGCACATGGATTTAGTGAGGTAAAAGGATGAGCTATGAGAGTGGGAGATGAGAGTGACTGAGCCTATGGAATAATCTTTAAAAGATTCTAGGGAGTTTCTGACAGCTCTTTCTACTGCTGGTGGGTAGGAAGATGGAGCTGGAAATGAACATACACTAAATTAACATATTCCAGGTACCCTCATACATCACATCATTTAGTTCTCAAATCAAAAACAGTGCTTACTAGTATAATATGTGCATGAATTCCATTTTATAGATGTAGAAGCTGAGATTCAGTGTGAGAATGACGCCAGGGTCCCTGGATAGTCAAAGCCAATGGGAGCACAGAGGCCTTGTTGTCAAATACACCAGAATGGCCAAGGCCACGCTGAGCATGAGCCTAATCGGGGTGCCCAAGGCCAAGATACCGTACACAGCTGCAAGGCCACAGCAACCTCACGGTACGCTGTGCCCTTCTGTAACCCAAATGATGGATGTCACTGTTGGCTACTAGCCTTCTTTGTCTCTGGAGTAATAAACAGGCTCCTGACCAGCCAGTGAGAGAGAACAGCTGGGCAGAGCAGAGGCTAGAGAGCTCAGAGAAGCAGAGGCACAGAGAATGTAGCGCCTATGTGTGCAGGAGATGCTAGAGAGCTCAGACGGAGTTGAGAGCTGGTATTGTAAGGCTAAGAGCTCATGGAGAGCTCAGATATTGCTACCATGTTAGCCAGTGTGCTGAGCCAGAAAGCTTAGGTACCACTATGATGTGAGGTGGTGAGTCTAGGAGGCAGCATGCGGCTGCTCAGATAAGAGCTGTGGGTAGAGACTAATGCTGCTTTGTGGGAAAGATGTACATTTTAACCAGCTGGTGTTGCCTGCCTGTATAGACTTTGCTGTGAAGGATTGTCTTGTCTGATGGCTATGTGGCCATTGGCTTCTGCAATAAAGACTCAACCTTATATATCTGAAACCTCTCATGGCTTCTCCGTCTAAGACCTAGCGTCTTAGAAGGCCCAGCTCAAGGCAGAGGGGCTCGGATCTGACACCTGTAACAATGAGCAGAGGATAAAGGAGGAGCTTGGACTAGTGGGAAGGGTTTGAGAAGGAACCGGCCCTGGTATAGTCGGGAGCATTTGAGAAGAATATCTGGACTCAGAGCAACTCAGACCAGCACAGCCGTGCAGAGCGTCAGAGCGTGCCCCTGCTGTCTGACACTCAGAAAACTTAATTGGCTTCAACAGCTGCACCATGAGCCCGAATCTACACAACTTTAAAGCGGACGCCCATGCAAATTACGCCATGCTGCTGATCAGAAAATTTGAGCAACTCTAGATCAATCACTGAAATGTTGGTCCTAAACTTGCCATTTAGTTTTCAGAGGTTCTTGGCAGGCTCTAAATTGTGCAGGAAATGGCACATTCTGTTTGGATATTGTGATTCCTATATTTCATTTCGAGTCATGCTCTTTGCAGAAATAGTTTTCAATTTCCTTAGCCACCTTTTCTTAATAATATTCTGCTACTGTTTTTAGCTCTGCCCTTTCCAGGGTCTTCAGCGGAATCCACAGATGAGCCCCTTTTCCTTGCTGCACCCTGCCTCAGTTTTTCAGATAGCCCCACGCAAGGCCCTCAGCACACACCTCATGAGCAGCTAGAAAGGAGCCCGTTTCTAGTGCCAGGGATCCAGTCACAGGACTTTCAGACAACTGTGTCCAAATACCGTGGCACCCGCTCCTCCACCCCAATTTCATGATGCCTCCAGCTTGCAGTTCATCTTGCCTCCTTCTCCTCTGATTAGTGCCTATTCCAAATTTCTGACATTTACTCATGATAAACTGTAACTCACTTTCAGGACTAGAGAGCTATCCCAAACTACATTTGTGTTCATTCCTGTTATACTCTTTTAAAAAAATGTTTTTTTATTGATTTTAGAGAGAAAGGAAGGGAGAGGTAGAAGCATCATTGGCTGCCTACTGGGCATCGAGCCCACAACCCAGGCACATGTCCTGACCGGGAATCGAACTGGTGATCTCTCAGTGCATAGAATGGCACTCAACCAACAATCAGGGCCCTGTTACACTCCTGTTACACTCCTTGCATGGACACATGTTGTGGTCCCTACTGTAGCCTGGTGGCTGGACTGCTGTGCTGTCTATGTTTCTGAGTATCGATTGCCTTCTGCATTCCTTGCCATTATGGAAACTTTATTTCCTGCCTTAGCACCTTGCATAGAGCTGGGGCATGGGGCTAAATTTTGTCTAGTACAATATAAATGGGAAAGATGTATGGTCCTTCTAACCTCTTCCATAAAAACCTCCACAGAATCAGCTGGGTATAACCCTCCTGAGAAACTTGGTTATTTTAAAGTGATATAGTAAAATATCACTTCTTCGATCTGTATTATTAATTGACTTTGTGAAGCAAAAGCTACTCTACCCTTTTCATGAGTGAAAAATTAGTCTAGTCTATGATGTTAAGCCACTTTGATTTGGGTGTTTACCTGACACAGGAGCCAGCTTTACTTATACAAAACATCTTCCAAAAACAACAGAGGCCAACATTTGTATAATTGGTTGAGCTTCCGACCTTTTGGGTAAACACTGTCCCACATGGCCAGCAGCTCCTCTGGCGTGGGCCACTGTTCGCAGGCAGTTCTTCAATCTCTGCCTGATCGTAAGGAACTGAGAGGAGTCCAGCTTCTCTCTACTCCCCGTGTCAGCCTCATGTTGCCTCCAGCTGGCCAGCACGCCTTATGCCCGTTTGTCAGGCCACAGCACACGGAAAGATACTCAAAACTGAATTGTTCAGGGTGAACATACACAGGGGACCACATACCTCCATGGCCGCAAGTCTGTGAGCACTCAGTCCAAGCTGTCCACTCTGAGAGCTGACAGTTGACCACACATTCCACCAGGCAGTGAATGCTCATTCTCTGTGGCTTCGCCAAGTTACGCTGCAGATGGAAATGAAATATGATTTCAGCAGATAATTCAAATCAACATCAAGTCAAAACATTATCCTTCTATGGGAAAGACTGCCTTTTATTCTTTGATAATAATCTGTTACATTTTTTGGGGGGGGTAGCCTTTCTTATTTAAATTGATGGCAATTGCATAGAACGGCTGTCCTTACCTCACAAAATCAAAATTGTCAGCCAAAATTTCTTTTTATAAACTTTAGAATAGGCCTGCAATTAGGGTGCTGGGAAAGCAGGTGGTTACATCCTCTTGGTCACCTGCTCAGCCAGCCAGAGACCAAGAGGATGCTCAGTGTTAAATGCAAGCACCCTGCACTTCTGGGTAAGCCAAAATGAACAGCTGGCTGGGATAAAACATAAATAAAAAACAATAAAGCCCAAATCAATAACCCATCTAAAGTTTATTATAAAGACCAATTATGCTAAAAAACATAATCATGGGCTTAATCATGAGGAAAGTTGGTGATAGAATTCGCTTTCCTCTCATTCACTCTGAAACCCATATCTAGGCAAAATCTACAAATTGTCTAATGATCAAGGTAGAAGAAGTCTTAGTGAAAGAAGAAATCATCTAAGAAATACAGAATAATAAAAAGTTCTGCTTTAGGAATCACATACCATGTGCACATTGAGGAAAACTTTGACTTTCAACACATGTTAGGTGTTAGCATTGTCCATACCAAGCTGAAATTAATGATGACTTGGCAAGTGGGCAACATGGCAGTTACCACAGGGAATGTATGATCCATACACCATGTATGGATATTCTAGTTAGGTTAATAATTTGGGGCTTCTTTAAACTCATATTTTTAAAAAATATTTGTTGGGCATATGGTATTGGAAAGCAGAGAAACTGATTTTTCTATTAATGAAAACTTTATATCTTTCTTTGTATCAAAATAAAAGATTTATTATGCATAATGAATGTAAGATTTTTCACTTATTTGGAGTTGTTGTACATTGTGAATTTTTTTTTCTTGAAGCCTACAACTTCTTGAGAAGCAGAGGAGATGAAATAAAATGTTAAATAAATCACTGACTTCTGGTAGACAGAACTCTGCCATCTGTTAGCCCGTTTCAGAATTTCACCAAATGGGACATCCGATTTCAGATGGTCTGGCCTCGAGTTGGTGTTGGTCTATAGCTATGCATTTGGTTTAGAGAGTGTGTGGTCAGAACAATATTTAACATGTTAAATCAGGTTAGAGGAGGAAGGTTTTGTTTTGATGTTAATTTCTACTTGTGTACTTCCCTTATGTTAGGAGACCTGGGACAATGATTATTTTTCCAGTTTGTTAAAAAAAGTTTCTGTGGCAATCTGAATTAACTGGCCCCATATTTTCCATTTATTTGAAAGATTATTTTAGTGATTCCTATAGTGTGAAAGCATCTTGTCATATTTATTTCTATTATATTCCCCCCTTAGTGCTTTTTACTTGTACATTGGGAAGCAATACTGACTTCTTTGGAACAGCTTTTATACAAACTTTATATAGTTTATCACAGGTAGAAAAGGGGAAAAATTCTGAACCTGCTCATTTGAAATTTGGTAGGGAGACATTTTAACTTAGCTTGAGAAGGAGAATACAACTGAATTAATTATATAACAATCCGATACTAAGAAAGCAGAGTATTCTAATAGCAAATGTCAGTGTTCATCATATATGGAATGGACAGTGTTTATCACATATGCAGATGAATCACCTGCCCAATACAGAGTCATATCTAAATATTAGAGTCACCTGATGTCAATAGTTTGTTGGTCAGCAAGTACATCTAAATAAGTTCCTGAAAATCATAAGAAATATTTTTTAACGAACTCACATCCCCAGTGCCAATGACCTTTCCCAGTCATTGTGATGAAGTTGAAACTATACTATTACCAATTGAAAACAAATATAAACAAATTACCTGCTCACATTGGTCCATGCTGACTGGCTTGCCGTCACTGCGCACACAGCTCAGAAGGCGGGTCCTGACGCCTTGCCCACAGGTCGCATTTTCACTCAGCTGGCACGTGCTCCACTCTACGGCATAGAATCACCACAGTGAGTTTCAAAATTCTGGGCATGTGAGCAAAATACAACAAACCTAGGTTATCTGTACTGGTGGAAGACAGTGTGTATGTAACTCTAAAACCACTACAGCTGGGTTTAAAGACATCATGCAATTCTTTCATAGAAAAACAATCAAATTAATATGAGTGGATTAACTTCCTACATGTTCTTTAAGGTAAAAAGCCAAATGTTTGTTAGAAACCATCTCACAGTTGGCTGGGAGGGAAAGGAAAGACACTAACCAGGATGAGAAAGGAAAACAAGTTTGGAATCCTCTATTTGCTGGGGATAGTTGAGAGAGAAAATAACCCAGAAATGAAGCTAGTCTTTGATGTGAACTTGAATATGTTTTCAAGGAATAAATATAATTAGCTAAACAATTTGGTACAGTGAAGCCAAAAGAGGAGCTGTAGAAAAGAAAGAGTTCAACCTATTTAGAACCATATAGCCTGTTCTCAAAACTCTAATTTTTAAAATTTATTCTCATCAAAGAAGGTTTTATAGATTTGGCTCATTGCATTACAAAGTAGACAACTTTTGAGTTAGAATAAATTCTCCTGCTTCTTAAAAAATTTTTTATTGTTGGTGTGGGTACAAAGGAAGATCCTTGATCATATGCAATGAGACCCTTTTTAAGGAGATTTTCCATAATTGTTAGATGATATAAGTTTAACAGGAATAGCAAACGTTGTATGATGAAATCAGTGTTTTAAAGACACGCTTTTCCAATAAAGCAAATTTAGTTGTATTTGAAAAAATGTCTGTGAAAACCAAGGTTCTGATACACCTTTATCTAAAGAAAAAGAGGAAAACTTGAGATCATCTTCACCTATAAACACAATCATCCAACCCCACAGTATTTACCACAAAGTTTTCTACATGAGAAATCTCAGCAGCGCCACTGTGATGTCAGTGCGGAATTTGTTCTAGAAACCAGTTTGCTCTGCCCCTGCAGGCAGGGGGCAGGTTGGATATCAGTATTGAGTTCAATACTGAGACTTAACATGGTTCCACATTTTGTGTCATTTTGTATATCTGTTACTGCAGGAAATGGTGGGTAGCAGATCAATGTAACTAAACAATCTTTGGTATTAGACACTGTGGTGTCCAGAAAAAAGCTAAGCATTTGGCTGAATGAGGCTGTTATGATTCCCACTGCCTCTCAAACATCCCTGTCCGGCAGGCCTAGCATTCATCCTTACTGAGACCCATAGAACAAGTGCATCACAAGCTTGAAGTTCTTGAAGTAATAGAGACCATTAAAGAGCTACATTCTGTGACAGAATGATTATATTCTTTCCTAAATGATAAAATATCCCATGATATTTTTTATTGTTTCAGTTTAGCATGGCTTAATTCAACTGGATTCTGAAACTTTGTCAAATCTTTGTAAGCATCTTTGAATTCAGAGATTCCAGGTGGTGTTGCTGAATCTACATGGCGTGAGTGGGCATGTGAAGGGGCACTGGAAATGTCAAATCCTCAGGCTGCCGTGCAATGGATTCACACATTCTACTGACAGTCCTAACCTGGAGAACAAAAACCTATGCAAACATACCCCGTTAGTCAGTGCTACGGGAAAAGGGCATACCTGTCAGGTTGTACTGGAACTGGAAGCAGTTTTCATTCAGGAGACAAGGCCGCACCTGGGAGTCTTCAGCACATGTCCTGGAGCTCAGCGAGGGTCTCAGCAGATGGCGGGTTCTTCTCTGCATTGTGTGGGGATCACATGACTATGAAGATCAAAGAGCAGGCAGAGTTAGGAAAGACCCAGAGTTCGTTGATAAATCATGATTATCTGTATACATGTCGGCATATGTACAATAACTACAGGGAAGAGACTACTGAAAATATTAAACATAATATTTAGAACATAAAATCATTCTGTGATTCAATGAAGATAGTTTTTGGTTTTGTCACTTGACCACTCTTTCTTTTTTGTTGTTGTTGTGGCAAAGCTGCATTTTTAATCTCCCATGCATAATTAGGCACATAGAGACCATTTTTATCAATTAAATGTACTCTGTACTCTCAAATAGTCTGCCTCTTAGCAAGAGATGAATTCATTTTGAATGTTTAAATTAACATAAAAAGGAAGATTGTCCTTTTGCCCTCAGATAGTCTAACCCAGTGGTTCTCAACCTTCCTAATGCCATGGCCCATTAATACAGTTCCTCATGTTGTGGTGACCCCCAATTTCATTGTTACAAATTGAACATAATTAAAGCATAGTGATTAATCACAAAACAATATGTAATTATATATGTGTTTTCCGATGGTCTTAGGCGACCCCTGTGAAAGGGTTGTTTGACCCCCAAAGGGGTCGCGACCCACAGGTTGAGAACCACTGGTCTAACCCAATAGAAATAACCATACAGAACATTTTAATGAGAAAATCATTTTTAAAACCCTGGAACAAACAGATACACAGAGAATTATGAAACCAGTATTGCCAATAGACAGTACTTTCCTCCTATTTGGGAGGCTCTTTGAGCCACCGAAGACAAGCCACTGCATGCCGCGGCCTTTTCAATAAAATAAATGTATACATGTGAACTTCAGATCTCCTGCAAATATCACTTTTCCTGTGGGCCCACATGTTCTCTCATATAATGCCCTTGATCCTAGTAAACTTACCAGCTACATCTTCAAGCTCCTTCTATTGGAGTAATCTCCTCTCAGCCGTCCTATATCCTCTCCTTCCCCTTCCTCAGAACACTGATCAGGTCTTCATCAGTGACGGTCGTTCTTTTACTAAAGATAAATTCTTCTCTTCTTTCCTAAGTAACATTCCACCCATGCTCAGGAATTATTCTATACATGCTTCTAAACAAATATACATACACATATACTTATATGTTACACCTGCCCTTATATAGTATTATTCTTTGTTACCCTGACTTCTTCCTTTTTAATAAACTCATTGAGGGCATGGTTTCTACTTGTCATGTCACTTCCTGAAATCTTGGTATATATTTTACACAGTGGTTGTTCAATAAAGACCAGTAAATATAGTCAAAACCACACAATTCCAGACCCAGAAACTTAAAGAGGCACAGACATGCTTAAACCCCGGGAGAAATAAAAATCTCTAAATTAAGGTAACCGGACCATCATTTTAGTATTTGAGATATTTTGTTTATTGTTATTCCTTTTACCTTTTCAGATATTATCCAAGAGCACAACTTGTAAACTGAATCTTCACTATTAATCAAAATGATAATGTTGGATTGCACTGAACTATGCAGGGAAATGCCATATTTTTTTTTTTTTAAGTTTCAAGTGTTTGGAGCCATTGAATGACATTTACTATTCATTTGACTTTATAGTTGGATAACCTGTCAATACTTGTCATTTTATATTTAAATTGTATTGAATGATCAAGAAGTGCCATTAAAACTAGGTAATTATTAATTATCTGTAAATGAATCCCTTGCTAAATAATTACTAATAATTTATTATTAGTTCACTAATTAATTTGTTCACATGAGAAGGAATAATAACTTAAGTAATTTGCCAATGAAATAATATGAAATTATCTTGGTAGATACTCCTGATTACTTCTTTTCTACCTTAAAAAAATGTCTGAACTAAGTGATTATGTGTAAAGACTAAGTGCCAGCTTAGTGTAAACCATCAAATAAAGAAAAAGAGAAAACAACACACGCACACATGTATGTACAAATGAAATTGCTAGGTAACCTTGAACAACTCACTTATATACTCTGTTCTCATTTCCTTATCTAAACCTAGGTAAGAAAGGGGTATCATTTTATAAGATTTAAAATTTTCCTCACAGTATTATCACACTCTAGTCTCAAAGACTGCTGGATATGATTTTAAAATATCCTCTGGAACCTAACCTGTCATTCAATTCATAACCATGGAAAAGTTGGTAACCACTTTCTGGAAATTAACATATTGAAAACCAACACTGTAGCTAACTCTCTTGCTAACACTTCTTCCATAAAAACAGGCAAAGAGGGGAGCATGAGTGACTGAGATCAACAAACACAATCCAACTTAAACTTAGGCAGTATTTTCATATTCCACCTTATAAAGATTGTCCTCGCACTGCTTACAGGTGATAGATGGGGTAGCATTTCTCCTTACTTTTCTCTCTGTTAGCCATTTATAAGTTCATACAGGTTCATACAATAATAGATTGGTCACAGGGATATGGGGATGGAACTAAGAAAAAAAGAATAAAGGAGGCTTACATCTGGTTGATATCTTTACTTGATCAAGACTCCCAAATATAAATCTGGATCTCCTATTTTCTATAAACTATCCTATGTAATAAAAGAGTAATATGCAAATTAACCATCACTCCTCACTCCGTCAGTCCATCACAAAGATGGCTGCAGCCATGGAACTGGAGTGAGCAGGAGGCTTGCATTGCCCCCTGGCGATGGAGGAAGCCAAGCTTCGCACCTGCCCTGGCCAGCCCTGAGCTCTGCTCAAGGCTACAAAGTTTCAATTATAAAAGCAAAATAAATCCCAGATATCTGCTTCCAGTTGCTTCTGCTCAAGGAGGGGCTGGGAGCCTAGGTTGCCAGGGGCAACCCAACCTGGGATCCGCTTAAGGCTACAAAGTTTCAAATATAGAAGGTAAATAAATCCCAGATACCTGCTTCAAGTCCACTGGTGTGGCCAGCCTTAAAACGGCCCTCAGCCCCTCACCCAGGCTGGCCAAGCACCCCAGTGGAGACCCCCACCCTAAAGGGGGTGTGACCAGCCTGCAAACAGCCATCAGCCCCTCACCTAGGCTGGCCAGGTACCCCAGCGGGACCCCCACCCTGATCTGGGACACCCTTCAGGGCAAACCAGCCGGCCCCCACCCGTGCACCAGGCCTCTATCCTATATAATAAAAGGGTAATATGAAAATTGACCCTAACAACAGAACAACTGGGAATGACTGGTCACTATGACACACACTGACCACCAGGGGGCAGACGCTCAATGCAGGAGCTGCCCCCTGGTGGTCAGTGCACTCCCACAGGGGGAGTTCTGCTCAGCCACAAGCCAGGCTGATGGCTGCCAGTACAGCAGTGGTGGTGGGAGCCTCTCCTGCCTCCTCAGCAGCACTAAGGATGTCCGACTGCAGTTTAGGCCTGCTCCCTGCTGGCAAGTGGACATCCCTCGAGGGCTCCTGGGCTGCCAGAGGGATGTCTGACTGCCAGCTTAGGCCCGATCCCCCAGGGAGTGGGCCTAAGCCAGCAGGTGGACATCCATCCCCCGAGGGGTCCCAGACTGTGAGAGGGCACAGACCGGGCTGAGGGACCCCCCCGAGTGCACAAATTTTTGTGCACTTGGCCTCTAGTATATATATAAAAGCCTAAGTGACCGAACAACCAGAACAACCAGAGCAACCAGTTGCTATAATGCGCACTGACCACCAGGGGGCAGACTTTCAATGCAGGGGCTGCCCCCTGGTGGTCAGTGCACTCCCACAGTGGGAGCACCACACAGCTGACCAACTGGTCCCAGCGGCCCACCAGCCCTGCGGCAGCCACTCCCTCCCTCAGTAGTCCTCTAGGTCCAATCTGGAGAACGGGCCAGGCACCAATGGACCAGCACCTCCGGCATGATCCTGACAGCACCGCTGGTCTCCTGGAACTTGGCCTAGGACACCCCGGCTGCTTCCCCTCCCTAGACACTCTGCAAGGAAGAAACAATATAAAAGCGGCTGCCAGGAAGCTCCTGACAACCAGTGCGAATATCAGTGGGACAGATCCAGATCCTGGGCCGGCAAGGGAATCCCACAGCCTGCCCCAGAGGGCCGATCACATCTGCCCCTCACCCCGCCCCTTTCGGGACCCCACCCGTGCATGAATTTATGCACCAGGCCTCTAGTATTTATATAAAGACATTTTGCCGACTTTCTAAATAAAAAGTGAGAAAGCAGTGTGTTGATTACTAACCTAAAGTAAACTCTAAGCCACTTCCATGATAAAGATCAATGTTACGTAGCTCAAGTTCATTTGCTAGGAAAGGAAATGACCAATAAGACCAGTTATAGTACTCCTCACTTACCCACAATTTTGCTTTTTGTGGTTTCAGATACCCAATGTCTACCATGATCCAAAAAATAAGCAATTCATAGGTTTAAATTGTTTGTGGTTCTTAGTAGTGTGATAAAATCTTGCACCACCTCATCTGTGATGTGAATCATCCCTTTGTCTGGTGTATCCATACTCTGTATGACCCCCCACCCATTAGTCACTTCACATTTGTCAATGTTTTCAGATCAATTGTCATGGTATTGCAGCACTTGTGTTTAAGATACCATTATTTTACTTAATAAAGGCCCCAAAGAGTAATGATACTGAAAATCTGGATATGCCAAAGAATATTCCTTTAAGTAAAAAAGTGTGTGCATATGTATAGGAATAAAAGATAGCATATAAAAGGTTCAGTACTATCCATGGTTTCAGGCATCCACTGGAGGTATTAGAATGTATCCCCCACAAACAAAAAAACAACAACTACTATAGTGTCTTGTACATATGACCCTTTAAGAGATTAGTTTTTCTAACTTATTACCTTTCAAAACCAGTACTTACCTTAGAGTTCAATCATTCCTTACGACATTATTTCTTCACACCTTTTGTTCTTTCTAGCAATAAGGCCTTTACCCATAGGTCTGACCTGAATATGTGCATTTATTTGTCAAAATTAAATCAAATATCCCTTCTACCATCCTCTACTGACTTCCTTGCTCCCCTATAA